TTATGTTTTTTAGTCTTATGGTTACTTCAAATCATTACCTTAAAATGAGAGAAGTTTTCTTTTTAAATTTTCTGTCCAAATTACATACAAATATATTTTGAAATAGCTGTTAAAATTATATGCTTCTTAAGCTTTTCCCTGTTTAAAAATCATTGAAAGTCTAAAGCACCTTATCTTTAATCATTTTAAAATTTTAGGCTTTTCATACGTTAATGGTCATTACATTCTTTTTTAATTCCCAAAGGTTGGAAAGATTATCTTAAAGAATGCTTTTCCTAGTGTTTTCAAATTGGATTATATATTTTGACTTATTTTTTTATCAGCCAGAATGATTTTTTTCTTCCCTGCATTAGAATAAGGGTAAAAAGTCACGCTAAAAGAGAATGCACTGATACAGTTGGATCTTGAAGTCCTTGGTTCAGCCACTTATTGTCTGCTAGTAGCAGCTGACAGACTTATGAGAGAAGGTTCAAGATTGAAAAAGCCACATACAGAATTTAGATAAGCCAGAAGTCATTAAACAAAGACAAAATAGTCCTTTGGGAGTTAATCAAATCTGAGTGGTTGAATTAAAGTAAGAGTGAGTAAGGGAAGCAGTAGTATAAAAAAGAAGCCGATGAATTGAGAAGGCTCTTCAATGATATAGCCATATGAGAAGTAACTAATGCCCTGCAAAAGCATGTATGTACATCTCCAGGTTTCTTTTCCATGTGACGCGATTATTGATTACATCATATACATCTTAGTGGGATTTAATCTAATATATTTGCCTTACAGGATTCATCTAATTGATGAGTTTAATACCGATATGGATATCTTTGTGTTTCTCCTGTCAACAAAAGCTGGTGGATTAGGAATAAATCTGACCTCAGCAAATGTTGTTATACTTCATGATATTGACTGTAATCCTTACAATGACAAACAAGCAGAGGATAGATGCCATAGAGTAGGCCAGACTAAGTAAGTGTTCTTAGTCGAAATTTATTTTTTAATTAAATGCGCATTTAATTTGTATAGAATATAATATGTTGGATGTCCTGCCTTAGTTTTAATTTTGTCAGCAAAGCATGGCAGCTAATGTATTTTATACCAGCAGTGTTGAATATGAACTCCACTACGTAACCTATCCATTTTTTAGTAATTGAGACAAAAATAACCACCCACTCTCACCCCAAATAGTTCTTCAGTTCATGAAGAGGAATTATTATCAAGGGTCTACGCTGTTGAAAAAGATTAGTCATTGAAAAGACTTGCTTGTTAGACAGTTTAAGACCCAGACAGACTTGGTAGTGAACATACTATTGCTATCCTGTTACCCTTTAGGAAATAGATTATTTGAGTAGTAGATTATTTTAGCTTTAGGCTAATGTTGACATTGATCACAGGACTATAAAGAGGTGAAAGTAACTACAATTCAACTCTACTTTCATATGTAAACAGTAAACAATGTCTTCTTTGTGAAGTATTTTATTATATTTCCAAAAGATACTGATATGTTCATCTATGGACCAAATACTTATCCATGCCTATTATGGAGATTTTACTTTACTACGTTGCCTTACTGTACAGGATTATTTCTTGGAACCTGATAAAGAAAAGATGCCTTATTTGAAAATGTAATTTCTGTCTGAACACAGAACTGTTTGTTATAATATAGTTTTATCAGTAACTTTTAAAGTACAAATGTCTCTTAGATCAATAGGAAAGACTGTCTAAAAGTTAAATGCTCAGAAAATGTCAATCTCACATAGTTTGAATAAAAGAAGAATTTAAATTTAAGGATATACTTGTCACTTTCAAGTTATTCTTCTTGAACTCTTAAA